ATGACCTGGGTATTGAATAATCAAGATTTTGTGCGGATCAGAGAATACACTGTTGCATCCTTTAGTAGAAAAATTGGTCACACTCTCAGTTTGACCACAGTCCTGTAGTCTAGAATCCTAATTGCTCCTAGAGAATCTGATACAAATTGAATATCCCATTTTTGGAACTCCAAAATCCGAAATACTCCAAATTCCCAATTTATCCACATGGGTGGCTGAGATAGTGACACCTTAGTTTTCTGATGGTTCAAAATACACAAATGTTTCATGCACAATAATTTACCTTTGGGCAACGTGTATATGACACATAAATGAATTTTAGGTTTAGACTTGGATCTGATCACCAAGATATCTCATTATGTATTTATATGCAAATATGGGTATTCAAAAAAAAAAATTCCAAATTCCAAATCACTTTTAATTCCAGCCATTTCAGATAAGGAATAATCAAACTGTATGTCACAAGGCTGTTCCAACGTATGAGGACTCAAGCCAGTCTGAACATTTCTACTGGGCCGTTTTCTTCTATTACTGAGGTTTGGGTCAGTAGACTTGTAACCACAAGGAGTCAGATCTGAGAGCAACACATTCCCACACTCACTTCTAGTTACATGAACCAAAGTTACCCAAGATGCAAGTGTGGAAATCTGATCCCCTGGCTTCTTTTTAGGAGCTAAATCATGAGATGATTTAGCTCTTAAGGTAAAACTAGTTCGGGGCTTTCACCTTCAGATTGTAGGGATAGGGCGTATACTGTATGAGTGAATTTTTCCTCCTCCATTGAGAAGACTTCCCAATTTACACATAAACTAAATGATAGAGAAGCTATAGGCTAGGCATGTTGCTGGTGTGTGAGAGTGTACACAAGTATATGTATGGATAGATAGATAAAGCAATGAACAAAACAATCAAAGAAATAATATGTTAAAAAATTAAAATAAAATCATTTTAGTGGAAATGTTACATTAAGTTAAATTTGTCTTTATTTGCTTAATAGCAAGTCAACACAGAGTTTATGGTATGGCACAGTGTGGGGTATAGTATTACCTGTATCTCATGTGCATCTCAATTTTTCAAGCTCTGAAACCAAAAAAGTATTTGCTGGCGAATGTAATGTGCCAAAAGAGTGCAAAAGGTGAGCTCTTTTTAACATGCCCATTACAGTGACTGCCTGCTTAGAATTCCTTCTTTTAAACAATTGTGTAGGAACACCAAAGCTTTCAGGAATGGAAAAGAAACCTAGGGGTGCATCTATGCTGCAGAAGGAATTCACTTTAACTGCCTTGGTTCAATGCTATGGAGTCATGGGGGCTGTAGTTTTACAAGGCCTTAAGCCTTTTCTGCCAGAGTTCGGATGCCTCATCAAACTACAATTCCTAGGATTACATAGCATTGAGCCATGACAGTTAAATTACAAATTAAATTCTTCAAATAGAAGCTCTATGAGGTGCTTCTGAAGCAGCTTCTCCTATTGCTTTGGTTCAGCACTAAGATTACTGTATTACGCAAATCTAATGCGCACCCTGATTTTGGCAAGGTAAATTAACCCAAAAAAGTGTGAGTGTTAGAGTTGAGTAAATACAGTAGTAAAAGTACAGGTTCTCCCCTGACATTAAGTCCAGCCGTGTCCGACTCTGGGGGTTGGTGCTCATCTTCATTTCTAAGCTGAAGAGCCGGCGTTGTCAGTAGACACCTCCAAGGTCATGTAGCCGGCATGACTGCATGGAGTGCCATTACCTTCCCACTGGAACGGTACCTATTGATCTACTCACATAAGAAAGCCTCCAACCATGTTATTCTTCACCTTCGTGAAGCTATATAGTATGGAATAACATGTTTTTGAACTGCTGGGTTGGCAGAAGTTTGGGCTGACAGTGGAAGCTCACGCCGCTCCCCGGATTCGAACCTGCGACTTTTCGGTCAACAACCTCAGCAGCTCAGCAGTTTAACCCACTGCACCACTGGGGGCTCCCGTAAATACAGAAGTTAGCTCTATTTTTAATAGTAACTCTCCAGCAATCCGATATTATATTTTTCCGGCATCTACCAATTCCATGGGTGTTACATAAATGAGAGTCTACTGTATATTATATTATAAGAAAGCCTCCAACCATGTTATTCTTCACCTTCGTGAAGCTATATAGTATGGAATAACATTATTGCCAATTGCTGTCTCTTCTAAGGTTTATGTGAAACATGCCTAAGATCAAGAACCATGACTCAAGAGAAAGAAGACAGCCCAATTTTTAAAATAGCGATTATTTCTTAAAATATTCAGATATCCAATAGGAAAAATCTAATCTGTTGCCAACTTTTTAAAAAAAGTTGCACTGAAGATCACATTTCACCCCATACCGCTAAAACACACATACACTAAAACACGCCATCCTAAGTATCATTAATCAGTTATGTCCAGTTTGCATGAAATCGTTTACAGGGAGTAATTGCTGACGTTGATGTATGATGCCAGCAGTGGAGCCGGCAGCACAGAAGCCCGGCTTGGCAGAAAGATTCAATGCCTTGAAAAAAGTGGGGAGGGGGCTTTGGTGTTCCCCTCCACTCTGGCTGGCACTGAGCCTGGTGCGGGGGAAAGGACAATGACATCCTATTTACCACCCGAAGGAGATTTATGGAGCGGTGACTGTCACAGGTGAAAAGAGGTGCCTAATGAAGTCTGAACTGGTGCCACAAAGGCAGGGTGTTCCTTTCCGCTGGTCTCCTTTCTCCCGGTGATTAATTCATTAGCAACAACGTTTCACCTGTGAAAGTCATGCATAATTTGCACGTGGATTTCTGTGTGCCTTCCCTTAACAGGAGGGTTATTATCTCTTCGATGGAGAAGCAATAGACAAACACAAACAGAGGTGGCACATACTTTCTCCCGATGAAGATGTCTTCCAAATCCTTACAGAAATGGCGAGGCAGGGACTGGTAACAGGAAACTGTGTCAAGCACATCCCAGAATGTCTCAAAGCTCTTCCATTTTCAGGTAGCTGTTCTTGTTAACATTGTATGTGGCCCGCTCCTCATATTTTGATATCAGCTATGCATTTCTTTTTCTTGTGCATCTGATAGGATCAGCTCTAGCCACAAGAGCTTATGGTCTTCTTGGTTTTGCTTCCATTGAATAGCATGGCTACTTCTCTGGAAATCACTTCAAAACCATTGAGATGTTCTATAAACACAGACCGACAAATGAGTGTCAGAACCTTTGTCCAGGACAATTCAGTTCCTCTGAGATGAGGCTCCATATTGTAACCACAGAGCTAGGCAAGCAATACTTATTTACAAAAAAGTGGAGGGAGTTGGAAGCGACTGAACAAATCAACAACAGAAGCTAGTCAAAAACACACATCCTTAGACATATGGATATGAGATATCTAAGGTGACTTAGTTTAACTGCCTTGGCTCAATGCTATGGAATCATGGCGGTTAAGGTATTACAACTCTAGTCTTCAGCCTTTTCTGTCAAAGAGTAGTAGACCCTCACCAAACTCCTAGGATCCCATAGCATTGAGCCATGGCTGTTGAAGTGGTGTCGAACTGCATTCCTTCCATAATGTAGATGCCCCCTAAGAATAATTCACAGTCCAGCATCTTTTCCAAGAACATATTGTAGCTCCTCAAGAAGGAAAAATAATTTAAAAAAATTAGAAACGAGAAGGTCTGGTCATAGTGTGGCTCCTTCTTGATATTTTGCGAGTTTCTTTCCCTTCACAAAACCAAAATCCCCTCAATATAAACTTGTACACATATGGTAAAAATGTCTGGTGAAAATAATAGTAGTACAGAAAATAATAGGGCCTCCTGGTGGCGCAGCGGGTTAAACCGCTGAGCTGCTGAATTTGCTGACAAAAATCCAGGGAGCAGGGTGAGCTTCCACAGTTAGCTCCAGCTTCTGCCAACCTAGCAATTCAAAAGCATGCAAATGTGAGATCAATAAGTACCACTTCTGCGCAAAGGTAATGGCACTCCATGCAGTCATGCTGGCTACATGACCTTGGAGACTTCTATGGACAACACCAGCTCTTCAGCTTAGAAATGGGTGATGAGCACCACCTTCCAGAGTCGGACTAGACTTAATGTCTGGGGAAACCTTTACATTATAGGTAATAATAAGACACAACACATCCGCCATAGCAGTTGAAAACTTGAAAATGGAACAGTTCAGCTCTGTACTTTTTTCTTCCTTCCTTCCTTCCTCTATTTGTCTGTCTGTCTTCCTCTTTCCTTCAATGAGCTCAAAGCAGTGTACATGGCTTTCCTTTTCCTTTTCCCCACTTCATAAAAATTATGACTAACTTGAGTTGAGTTTCATGGTTCATATGGGGATTTGAACCTAGCCCTCCCAAATCCTAGCCTACTAAGTTAACCACTGCATCATAAGTTTAAGTAAAATCACAGAGAAGTGGTCCACTAACACTCCATATTTGGTATAAACCCAATCACCAGAAGCTAGGCATTACTGAACTGGGAACAGATAAAATAGACATACCTTGCTTGTGAACTTTCTGGAAGCACCTGGGTGGTAAATTGTGGAAATTGTTGTACCAGCTTTCCTATATCTGAAGCCCTCTAGATATGCTGAGCTCCAAATCCCATTATGCCCAGCCAGCAAAGCAAATCTAGTAGATAAACACACCCAGGTGTTCCTTCAGTTGGATTTGATGTAGTTGTTTTCAAACACCTAATCAGGTGTATATTGTAAGGTTTACCTTTATTGCTTTGTCTGATTTCTGTGTTAACCACTGCCCCATAGCCGAACAGGAAGCAAAGTTTTCTACAGTGATGTATGAAGTACATTCTCCAATTTCAGTCTTTCATTATCAGTGACAGTGTAATCACGCAACCGTATAGCTGTTTGTCAGTTGACAGTGTGCTCTACCATAATGGTGCTGCTTGCAAACATTTTATAAAATCTATGCAATTGTGTTTTAGCAATACAAAAGTCTCATTAGGGGGTCTCACATGAATTCCTGTTGCCATTAATAAGCAATATGCCATTTTCCATTGCATTTTATTAAAAATTTGCATTTAAAAAATACACATATATTTTATTTTTTTACAGATTGCAGGTAAAGATGTTTTTGGAGAGTACCCTCATTGATCCAAACAGCACACAATATATCTTCAATATCCAGATTTGGAATTGGGAAAACCTGGAGATATAGAAAGCCGGAACAATAACACTTCAATCCGGCAGAAGAGACAACTGATTTTATAAATATCTGATCTCCTATACATTATTGCATCGGGGAGCCACAACTGTATGCAGCATCATTATATAGGAAAGAAAATTTTAAAATGGCAAAAATATATATATTTATGAATAAATACACTGCCCTGTTGTCTCAAGAAACAATGAACACGAGGTGTGGTAAACATATACATGGTAGAGCACTTTTCTTTTGCAACAAGCTGTCCAACAATATTGGGAATCAGGAGAGGGGAAACAATGAAAAAATAAGTTAAACAACAGTTTTAAATGAGTCATAATTTTCACTATTGGATATATGGCTTTCTTATTCTGCATCTTTCTAAAGAAAATGTTAAATTAACAGAGACACACATTTATTTTTTAAAAAGAAAAAAAAAGCTTCAAGGCTGCTTTGTTTCCAAACATTTACACAGCAACTAAAATGGTTTAAAAGTAAATGGGAGAGAAATTTCGAGCACTACACAAGATACACTAGTACGGAGGCCTAAAACAAGACACGGTCCCTAGCAAGGAGCACGCTGGAAATCAGAAGCTGCCGTCCATTTTTGAGATGTTATTAGGAATCTAGCTTTGTTGCACACCAGAATCAGTCCAGATGGTTTCTGGAGGCCTAGGTACATCCACGCAAAGGACAAAGATCCTGGTTTTCAAGTCAGACAGGAAAGTATTCCACATTCGTTGTTTACAATGCAGGACATGTGTGTCATTTTAAAAAAAAACAAGAGAGAGAAATGTATGACTCCTTCATATATTTTGTGCACAAATGATTTTCCATAGTCCATTCCATTGGTCTGAGTTGCTATTGTTGTTGTTTTAGAAAAAACCCAAAAGGCAACATCCTCAATTCCCATACCCGTCAATGGAGACTTCCACAACCTGCGTTATTTAGGCCATAACTAGGCATGACAGAAAGCTTTCCATTTGTTTCTCTTCCAAATTGCCATAGTCAACATGTTGTTGGGAGCAAACATCAGTAGGGTGCGAACAGGATGGATGCTGGGGTGGCTCGGAGAGGGCCGTGCCCTGCCCGTAGGAGAGCCGTGGGGATCGCAGGGGCCTGGAACAAAGCTGCTGAAGGGCGGCCTGGAAGAGTCAAGGTCGAGGATACTGCAGCAGCCGCAGCCGCAAGAGGAGATGAAAGGAAAGCGGGAGCCAAAGGCTTAATCATATCTTTTTGGAATGCAAGTTTAGCCTGTGGGAGGGAAAGAAACATTGCATGGTTACTTGCCCAATAAGGTGACTTTAAAATATTTTTGACAAATGTTTTTAATCATTCCCCTCCCCGCTTTTTCCCTTTCCACACAGGAGGCTACCAATAGCTACTTGGTAGTAAGTACAGTATCATAAATCAGAGAGCAATTAATTGCATCAATGCTAACCTTCTCCAGAGACTCAGTATGCCGACACCTTGTATGGATTAGGGCAAAGTACAAAGTGTTGGTTTTGATCTTTAAAGCCTTACATGGTTTGGGTCCAGGTTACCTAATGGATCACCTTCTTCCATACAATACGAGGGTAATCCGGAAAGTAAGGTTTCAAGATTTTTTTAAAAAAATACAAAGAATGAATATATTTTAATAAAAATTACAAGGATTGTAGCATAGGTATTACATTATTTTTCTACATAATCATCATTCAGTTCAATACATTTTGTCATCCATGGGATAAGCTTTTGATGTCTGTGTTGTTTCCCTCAGCCTTTTTCGGCCAGTTTGTCACTTTTCACCTCATCATCGTCAGAAAAGTGTTTTCCACCCAGGTCTTATTTCAGTTTAGTGAACAGATGATAGTCCCTGGGTGAGAGATCGGGGCTGTGAGTGGGGTGGCTTAAAACATCCCAAACAAATGAGGTAACTAACTCTTGTGTTGCATGAGTGGTGTGCAGATGTGCATAGTCATGAAGGAGACATTTGTTTTGGATGGCTCTGCAAAGTTTCTTCATGATCTCACAAGATATTCCGTACCCATTTTGTCACATGCTGTCTTGATATCTCGTCCTCTCCATAAACTAAAACGATTTTGCGATGAATCACAGCAGCATTCATACCCTTAGCATTTAGGTAGCATATTACAGCACAAACTTCCCACTTGAAGAGAAATGGAATAAGGATGCTCATCTCTAACCTTCACCACAATGCCAGTTGATGACCTACTAATGACTGGCTCTGCTCGTTCATTTCCACTGGCTTCCAGCTACATGGTAGTGATACCAATTTCCCCCAAGAAAATGCCCTGCATGTCTTGTAACCTTACTTTCTGGATAACCCTTGTACTTAGGTCCTCTGGAGGGTGGTTACTCCAATCAGCCAGAACTGGTGACTGTCACCCAGAAGACCTTTTCATTGGTTGCCCAAGACTGTGGAGCGATCTGCTGGAAGAGCTCTGGCAGCTAAATGAGCTGTCGGAATTTAAAAACCATCTAAAGATCTATCTCTTCTGGCAGGCCTATGCAGCCAGTTTTTAAGCATGAATTTTAAACCTGCGCCCTTTGTTTAATCTCTGTTTTGTGTATTTTAATGTATATTTTATATGTATTTTTATATAAATACATTTTAATACGTGTTTGTGTTTAAATTATTCTGTAACCTGCCTCGAGCCATGAGGAAAGGTGGGTAAGAAATAAAATAATTATTAGTATTTTACTGACACAAAAACACAGTATGACACAGCAAATGAGATCTATATGCTGGATTTTGTATCACAAAATCACAAGTCGAACACTTCTCAAGCGTCTAGAACTGTGTGATGTATTTTCAAATGATGCGCGCAGATCCAAGTAAGGTACCCTTTTCTTGACAGATTGTGATTTTGTCAATGTTTATTATTTTCAAATGCCGGCTGAGACCTTTTGGCACAGCACCCAGTGTGCTGATTACCACTAGGACTATCTGTACTGGTTTTACTGCTTGATTTTGAGGTCCTGATAATGGCTGAGTTTTTCCAGTTGTTTTTCCTCAATTCCACTGTCACCTGGTATGGCGATATCAATAATCCAAACTTTTTTCTTTTCCACGTGATTTTTGGTGTATTGTGTTTCAAAACTTTGTCAGTCTGGATTTGAAAGTCCCACAATATTTTTGCATGTTCATTTTCCACTACCTTTGCAGGGTTATGATCCCACCAGTTCTTTACTACTGGCAGGTGGTGCTTGTGACATAAGTTCCAGTGAGTCATTTGGGCCACAGAGTTGTGCCTCTATTTGTAGTTCGTCTGTGCAATTTTCTTGCAGCAGCTGAGGATATGACCGATGGTTTCATCAGTTTCCTTGCACAGTCTGCATTTTGGGTCAGCAGCTGACTTTTCAATCCTGGCCTTAATTGCATTTGTTCTGATGGCTTGCTCCTGGGTAGCAAGAATCTGGCCTTCCATCTCCGTCTCCTCCTCATCGTCTTCCTCCTCCTCTTCTTACTAACGTACTAAAATGCTTCCAATTAGAATAAAAATGATTTTTCTCCAAGGGGCCAGAATAGCATGCATTATGAGTTTAATTTCTTAATGGGGTCTTTGTTTTCACATCTACCTCTTGATATAAGCCTGCAGCTTGTTTCCTGCAGTCCATCTGCACAACAACACAGGAGTGCTCCTGCAAGTAATTGCCATAGCTAAAATTGCAATGTGGAAGGTAGTTTAATGAGAAAGGAATGTTTGCTGAACCCACAGGATCTTTTGCAGTTGTGAAAGGCAGTCACTTTCCTCCCACGATGACACAAAAACGAGAGTGATAGCTAAAAGTCCTCTTGTGTCCTAAGTGGGAAATTGGTCCTGAGAGTTCCCCAAACTTGCTGTTTGCTTACAGATACAAATGAGGTACTTAACTGAGGCCTGTGCTCTAACACACACCTGCTGTGACTTTAGCTTCCCCGCTGTGAAGTTAATAAGTTAATAAAGCCCAAAGCATTTTAATTTTACTCCTTATAATTATGCAGGGATATTAATTTTCTATTTGTTTCTGCAGGTCAGTTGCAAGATGTGACACTTTTAAAACAGACTTCTTCAAAATATACAAAACCCTGTGTATTCTTGACTTGCAATGATATGGGCACAATCCAGCCCCATTAAAAATAATTGCTGCTGACTTCAACAGGGAGCCTGTTTTTGTAGAATGCAAGCAGACTACTTCTCAGTACCCACATTAGCACAGCCAGAACCATAAAGCCTTCCAACACAACATGCTGTACTTGGGAAGAAGGTCAATGAGGAAAAAAGAGACAGGGAAGGAATTTCATGCTGAAGATGAGAGCAAAACAAGCAACCTTGCAATGCTCATAACCTTCCTGGGTTGCTGTTGCAAATTGGATAAATGTCACTAGAATGGGAAAGAGGAAAATTTTAAAAATGTTTCAAAACCACTGGGAGTGGCATTAGCTCTATGTTATGATGATAAAAGGGTAGGGAACATGCAACCCTCCCACATATTGCTAGAATACAGATCCTGGGAGACCTCGCCTTCACAGGCAGTGAAGAGGAATATTTGGAGTTGCAGCCCAATGACATCAGGAATGGCACGTGATACCCATTCCTAATCTAAAGGATCACTTTAAGCACTAGATGTTATTATTTGCAGCTTAGATGTGGCCATCAGAATAGCACGATACAATAAAGAACCTTAAAAATGCATAAATATATTATAACCTAAAGTAAAGGTAAAAGTTTTCCAGCCATGTCCAACTCTGGGGGTAGGTACTTATCTCCATTTCTAAGCCATAGATCCAGCGTTGTCCGTAGGCATCTCCAAGGTCATGTGGTTGGCATGACTGCATGGCTACCTTCCCGCGGAGCTGTACCTATTGATCTATTCACATTTGTATGTTTTTGAACTGCTAGGTTGGCAGAAGCTGGGGCTAACAATGGGAGCGCACCTCGCTCCCTGAATTTGAACTTGCGACCTTTCGATCAGCAAGTTCAGCAGCTCAGCAGTTTAATAATAATAATAATAATAATAATAATAATAATAATAATAATAACAACACTTTATTAATATTCTGCCCTTCTCACCCCGAAGGGGACTCAGGGTGGATAACAGTACACATACAAGGCAAACATTTGATGCAGTTTGTATAGACAGTACACAGACAGACAGAACAGAAGGTGTGATGTTTTGATGCCATGGATGGTTGGGCTTGAGTCCACAGGGGGTGCTGTTGCTCCATCCTCTATGACAAAGAGCTGTCAGGACTTCCTCATTCTAGCATTTTCTGATCTTCTTTACTTTATGGCATTGTAAAACACCTACCTCACTTTTAGCGGTACCTAATTTATCTAATAACAGCTAAAGCTGTTTTTGAACTGCTTAGGTAAACAGTGAACAGGGCTAACGGTTGGCCGCTCACGCCGACCTGGGGCTTGCAACCTTTCAGTTGATAGATTTTATAGTTGCTGATGATTTACCAGCTGTGCTAAACCTCCAGCCCCACTGCGCCACCAGGAGCTCCATATTATAACCTACTAAACTGTAATACAGCGGAAACTTGACTTAAGAACGTTCCAACTTTGAGTTAAGTACTTTGAGTTCAGTACTTTGAATTAAGAGCTGTTGCTCGACCCGGGTTTTGCTTTGACAGAAGAACAGTGTTTTGAGTTAAGAGCTGAGTCATGGAACCAATTAAACTCTTAATTGCTGATACTAAGTCAATTTTGACTTTTGGCAACCCCGTGACTGAGAGGCACTCTATCATCTACAGCCCAGTTTAGATTTAGAAGACATAGGGCTACAGTGTTCTTGATTGAGTCTATCCACCTGCGGCGTGTCCTTTTTTTCCTTTTGTGCCTCCACTTTACCAAGCATTATTGCCTTTTCCAAAGACTTAAGACATGTTTTGATAGGTCCATAGTATGACAGCTGTGCAACTTCCTTGGATGGGGTGAAATCAGTGTCCTAGGACACTTTCAACCCATCTGGAGGAGGGAGGCCCATGACAGACATCACACACTGTCATGTGACTTCTGGTGTAGGCCCTGCCCTCATCCAGGGTGAAAGTGTTGCTGGGCACTTCCACCCCAGCATGGGAAGTTTCCTGTGTTGGAGCATGCACAGGGCCTTCCTGCGAGTGTGATGCTTTCCCCATGTGATGGGGAAAGAATCACGGAGAAGGAGTTGCACACAGGGCAACAGAATAGCCCCAGTGCTCCCTCTCTCCTCACAGAAGGTTGTTAGTTTAGTTATCTTGGCATCACAGTGGGGTTCAATCCTCTAAGACATATTTATTGGTCATTTCGGTAGATCCTTGTATTTGTAGAACTTTCTTTCTGCATCATTTTTCAAATGAATTGATTTTTTTCCTGTCAGCATTCTTCATTGCTCTGCTTTCACAGCCATAGATAGATATCGAATTTAGATAGTACTGACTGTGGTATTCAATAATACGTTGATCACTACACAACAAAGCTAGAGGAAAAGATTCCACCTAAACATTGGGAAATGCTTCCTGATTGTAAGAACTGTTGAACACTAGAATATGCTGCCTCATGGTGTAGTGGTGTCTCCTTCTCTGGAGGTTTTGAAACAGAGGCTGGATGGCCATTTGTTGGGACTGCTTTGATTGTATATTCCTGCATGGCAGGATGGGATTGGACTGGATGGCCTTTTGGAATCTCTTCCAATGCTATGATATATCATAACACTTGGGAACTTTTCCAAATACAGTAGAGTCCCGCTTTTCCAACATAAACGGGCTGGCAGGACGTTGGATAAGTGAAAATGTTGGATAATAAGGAAAAGCCGATTAAACGTCCAATTACATTATTATTTTACAAATTAAGCATCAAAACATTATGTTTTACAACAAATTGACAGAAAAAGCAGATCAATACACAGTAATGTTATGTAGTAATTACTGTATTTATGAATTTAGCACCAAAATATCACAATATATTGAAACAGCTGTGGATCTGGACGGGAGGCAGACTGTGTTTGATAATACAGAACATTGGATGAGTGAAGGTTGGACAAGCCAGACTTTACTGTAGATACAATATTATTTCCACTTCAGGCAGTGTGTTCATCTTTGACACTCCAGTGACATCTCCCTTTTGTGTAGCCTGACAGATCCACATCTATCATGCAAGTTAACTCTACTGCATTTGGAATCATTTGATTACTGCCCAGTGTAGACTACATTTAATCAATACTCACTGCTAGAATACTTGGGCTGCGCTGTAGTTTGTTATAAGGGCTATATTTCGGTTTCGTAGGCTTCCCTGCCACCTTGTCCTTGTGTCTTCTGCTGGAAATGTGCTGAAATTTTAAAAGAAAGCATCCTCTTTAAAACATTGCAGTTTCTGTACAATAAACATGCAAATAACCCAGAAAACCAAACAAATGAAGCTTTAGCAGCAAATGTAGATATGTACAGGAAAGTCTCTTAAACTACACAATCAGAAAACCCTGTTGCCAGAATTGTACAAATGTTTAGTACATGTGGAAGCAGTGTTTTGAATCGTCAACGAGATATCACCTCCAGTGCATTTTTATTAGAATTGTTTGACAGGGAAGAAACCTATGTAGCTGCTATTGGCTTGAAGATTGAGAGATAGAGGGAACGAGGAAGAAATGTGTGGGAGGTGTTGAAGTGAAACCCGAGAGTATCAGTTTCTATGAGTAGAGGCAAAAGAACAGGCAACACAAAGGATTCCATACAATTTGATGTTTTGTGATAGCACACAGCAGCTTCTGAAAGTATGTTTGCACATTTCTCCACTTCCAAAATAAATCAGGTGTATTTTACAAATTTGCTTAAGCTAGTGACTTTAAAAATTGCACAGCTGATGATTTTTCTCTGGGGAACAAAGAAATGACATGTTGGAGCAAAAGAGCAATATATCTGAAAAGCTAGGAAGGAGGTTCACTTAACAAAGCCCCTGTGTCATCATCCAAGGCTTGGATGGAAATGTTGCAACAGCCAGCACTGGGCAACTGCACAATTGCTGACAGAAATGGGGAACAAGATGCTGAAACTGGCAAAGCTAATCACCTCAGTCAACAACTGCTTTAGAGAAGTGACTCTTAGTGATTAATAAATTATGTCTAAACATTTTCATGCTTATTCTTAAACTGCTCGAGATTTTGTTTTATCTGAATACTAGCATATATACCTGGCATTGCCCTGGTTTGCATTTTCTTTGTGGCTCTTTCTTTTCTTCCCCCCCCCCCTTTCCCTCATACACTTTGTCTCCCTCTCTTTTCTTCCTTCCTTTCCTTTTCTTGCCCCTCATAGTATTATTCTTGTTTGCTTTCCCTTCCTTCCTTCCTTCCTTCCTTCCTTCCTTCCTTCCTTCCTTCCTTCCTTCCTTCCTTTTGCTTTCCTTTCTCTTCCTTCCTTTGTCTTTCCTTCATTTTCCTTCTACCTTCCCCTTTTTGTCTCTCCCTGCCCTTGTCTTCCCTGCCCTTGTCTTCCCTGCCCCTCCCCTCCCCTGCCCTGCCCTGCCCTGCCCTGCCCTGCCCTGCCCTGCCCTGCCCGCCTTGCCTGCCTGCCTTGCCCTTCCCTTCCCTTCCCTTCCCTTCCCTTCCCTTCCCTTCCCTTCCCTTCCCTTTCGATTCCTTGATCCGGCCTTTTCTTGTCTCTCAACTTCAAAGCAAGGCGTAGGCACACATCTCTTCCATAATATAAATCTTTCTTAAATTGCTGACTTCCTTATAGGTTGGATGTCTGGACTGTGGCCTTCAGGGCTGTGTTTTAGGTCTCATTATGTGACTTTTGTCTACCAGTAGCTAATCCTTTCTATCTATATACTGCCCTCTTGTGGATGCACCTGAGTGCTGCATATATAAATCCATCCCTATAGAACAGTAGCTAATCCTACACACAGAGAGAGCCATTGTTCATTTTTTGGGATCCTTGCTCCAAAACAGGGTGGATTGTGTAGTTTAAACATAACAGTTACTTTAAGTTGGGTTATGAACAGGGGCGGCTCAACCCATTACACAAAGTAAGCATTCGCAGTATAGTTGATTTTGCCCAGGGGCGCTCTTGAGATGCTCTTGGGGGAAAATAGACCTTGACATATGCGAGTTGTAGTTACTAGGATGTATAGTTCACCTAAAATCAAAGAGCATTCTGAACACCAATGATGGAATTGAACCAAATATGGCACACAGAACTCCCATGACGAACAGAAAATATATATCAGTGATTGGTTGGGGGGGGGGAGGGGGGGAAAATACTGCTTGCTTACAGTTGAAAATTACCTAGGGCCGCCTCTGGTTATGAAGGGTATATGTGCTACATTTGGTCCCAATCCATCAAACTTATAAGAATAAGCCTTTGTGGTACAAACAAACTTGCATACTTTGGCTTGTATGTCAACACACACACACAGATATATCTGTTGGGGGGGGGGGGGCTGAAATGTGTGATTCTAACCTACCATCTGATTTTCACATAACATACCTGGGTTCTGTGCTGATAACCTCTTGGATTTAAGAGATCTGCCTCAGGCAAATTAAACTGAGCCACTTATTGAACTGAACATACGATCTGAAACAAAGGACTCTGTGGTCTGAAAATTTGACAGCGGTGGTACTAACACAGTGGTTCCTGATGCAGTGAACATACCTGCTTCAGCTGAATTTCGGAATTGACATGCACATCACAGATTTCACAATGAAATGTTTTGTTCTGCAATCCTGAACCTGTAGTAGTGGCATGGGTCTTCAGTCTGGATCCAGGCCGAGGATAAGACTTAATGGGACCTGCACCATTCCGAGCTTCCACCATTGTCTTGTGCTTGGTACCTGGTGAGCCATTATGCAAAAGAATCAAGACACCGTTTATCCTCTGCAGTATGAAATGTAACATTTTCAACCCTTAGATCTTCCTTGAGTTTTTATTATCAAGTAAACATGGAACAACAATGTGGCCTTTTCTATCTCACTCTTTTTCTGTGTCAGATTCCTCAAGCTCAATTAGCATGGTTGGCCATCTTTCTTGATTGTGGTTTGTGGCTTCTTTGTCTGTGGGGTAGTGAATTTCCTCCTGATTTTAGCCTGAGCTTTAAAGGAGACATCCAGGGTGCTGAACCTACAGTGGAGTTAGAATTCAGCATTTTGGAAAGCTCTTTTTCAACACTGCATTGTAACATTCAGCAGTTATCAAGTATGCTACCATGAGAACCTATTAACACAACTCTGATCTTCTTCAGGCATTGGCCTTTCAGGTCTCTTTTGCCACATCAGCCACAATTTAAAATGTGTGTGTGGCGGGAATGGTAACCTCCTCAACTGCCAGGTCAAAACATCCCACCACTTTAGTATTCCTGGCACAACAGGGAAAAAAGTTTTTCTTAATGCTTATCTCAGAAAGAGAACTTCATTAAATTATTTCCTCTTGATCTGAAAGCCATTATTGCCATCTCCCATCTCTTTTTATCTGAGCACAAAGAAAAGGGAGAAAATAATAGAGAACTATGTTCCCTCGGCATTACGCATGAAAGCAGGAAAGACTGCTTAACTTTTAGTGCTGATCCTTAATGTGCCATGGGAAGCTCAATGAAAGCACAAATGCCATTGCTGTGGGGTGATCAGTCACAGAAAGCTCCCTGGGCTGAATATCTTTTCGCTTCCATAAAAGAGACAGACGAATTATGGAGTTGTGTGAGAAATCAGGATGGAAAGATCATACGATCCACTTATCCATGGATTTGATGTTCATAGTTTCACCTACCCATCTCCAAAAAAATATCCCCAAAGTGTTTGTGGGTCTTTCTAGGTATTATATGCTTCCAGCCCAAGTATAGTCAAAATATAGGGTTCACTATTGTCCACACTTTCAGGTATCCAGCTGGGTCTTGGAACATATCCTCTGCAGATAAAGGGTTGCATTGTGCATTGTGCATGTTAGGTGGCCAAAAGGGAAGCCCCAATGTCTGTGGTCCTCATTGACGTTACGAGAGGGACAGAAGGGAATTGGAGGAAAAATCAACAGGAAGATGAATAGGTGTATAACGCCTTCATTCATCTATTAACATCCCATTTGACAATATTCTCCACTGATCTCACAGATAATTCGGAGGCAAGGTATAAGCTTGGTCAGTGGAAGAGGGAGGGTATGAGGAAGAAGATGGAGAGAAACTGGTGAATTAAGAAAAAGTCAACTACAAGCTTCTACTTACTAATTCTCTGTTGTAAAAGCACTACACATCAAGCTTGATTTATTTATTTGTTTGCTTGTTACCCTAGAAACTTGCCATCTCTCCAAGGATTTCAAAGCAGAGTACACAACTGCTTTCCTCCTTACGTTATCATTGCAACAATTGTGTGGGAGAGTAGACGCAAAGGAAGTGACTGGGCCAAAGTAACTCAAAGGCAACCAGAACCACGACTGCCCAAGTCCAAATTCGAACCATTATAGATCCCCTGACTACTTTGAGCTAAGAATCCTAGGTCTGGATAGCATCAGTTTTCTTCTTGTGGTTCTGGGAATTTTCGGTTTCATACTATCAAGACCTAGAAACAGTTTATTCTTGACCAGAAAACAAGAAGTTAAAAAGACTATATTTAGAAAAAGGTTTGCAGGTGGGGAAAGGAGAGCTTTTAACCATCATAAAAGTCTAAGGGGAACATATGACATTTTAATTGTTGCTGTTCTTTTTAAATGCTAAAAGTACAAAAACACTTTGATGGAAAAGACTCAGAGGTACAATTATAGTTTTTTTCCCCAATGAAGCAATACAGTACCCCCATATCCACAGAGGATATGTTCCTGTACTTCATGCAAACATATGAAAGCACAGATAACATCAAACTCCATTGAAGTGAAGGGTTTTTTGCCCAAGAATACTATAGTGCAATGCTGGAGGTCCTTGAAAATGCCTCAAGAAGGCAGTATTTTGTTGTATGTGGATAAAAGAAACCATAGATACTGGTTCTGAAAATATGGGGGGTCATACTGTACAGAGATGTGTAAACAGTATCTATGTCTAAGATATTCAAAAACAAGGTCAACGGTTCAAGTCCACGGGACTGGGTGAGCTCCTGTTGCTAGCCCCAGCTTTTGCCAACCTCGCAGTTTGAAAACATGCAAATGTGAGTAGATCAATAGATCGGTGGGAAGATAATGGCGTTCTATGCAGTCATGCTGGCCACATGACCTAGGAGGCGTTTATGGACAACGACAACTTCTTGGCTTAGAAATGGAGATGAGCAACCCCACCCCGCCAGAGTCGGATATGACCAGACTTAATGTCAAGGAGAAACCTTTACCTTTACCTTTAATGTTAACACAAAAGAGCTGCATGACTATAAACTTCATATGGGAACAGAAGAAGACTCAGGACTTCTCTGGAATCTTCCTATGTTTTATTATGCCCATTTAATATCACTAATGCATGACCTTTTTATTTTTGCATTTGATAGAATGGGATCTGGTTCATGAGAGCTCAGGCTACAATATTAGAGAGCTTAGACCATAAGGCTCTTTCTTGGTTTTGCTACAACTACTTATCATGGCTATCTTTCTGGAAATCCTTTCAAATCATTTAGATGTTACATAAATTTGAATTTGCAATGGCACTTGTGACAAAAACATTAGGGAATCATTTGGGGTTGTGCTTTAGATTCTGGAGCCAATATGATTCCTTTCCTTGTAGTGCATAAGTAACCTGAAAAACAAGGATAAAGGGATTTCTTCATACTTGCGTTAAGACTTCACACTTTTCTACGGTAAACTCTTGGACTCTTGTGTAACTCTGCTCCCCTGAATGAATTCCAACCATTCAGTTGCTTCAGCCCATTTTATAAAGGACCACTCGACATCCCATCCATTTGAATTTCCCCAATCGCGTAGCCTCTGAAGTTGCTCATCAACATTAAGCTCCTTAGATAACATAGGTCAGTGGGCCTCTCATTAGACGTATCTTGACTTAAATTCTACTTATTATTTTAAAATATGTATCTATACATAAAACATGCAAATTTGCATTATCACATGCAAATTTTATGTAAAACTATCGGGTGATGCCTCTATCCCGACCAATGATCCTATTAGATAACTGTTGAACAGGTATCCATGCCCTGCATAGAGACAGAGAGACATCCCAATTAAGAGGCTTTGCCTGGTGAAATCTGCCATCTAGAAGGGAAGGCATTTTTAGTAGTTACTAGATGGGCTCTGACATTTAAAATGGTGCTGAAAGGTTCTCTACAAATCTAGTAGCAACTATTGCCTTCTGAAATTGTGTTCAGTGGCAATATCTCCTGGAGGTAAGGGTGTAAATACAGAGTTGGGAACAAGTTACAAGAACGTTCACGGAAAATGGCTTCACTAAGCATGTAATAGACACCCATTTCTGTATTAACTAGATGACAAAGAGCTTTAATAAAGAATAGATTTTATGCCTTCTGTGTTGTCTCTTGGCAAGAACCTAATAATTGCCTCTGTATGTTTTCAATAAATGAAGCATTCTTTCCTTTTCAGGAGAAAGAATATACTAGGAAGATGAAGAGTTGCAGGCACTACTATGTCTAAATGACACATTATTTCACAAAATAGTTATGCGTTTAGTTATTTCTGGCAGTAGCTTACCTGTGTTATGCGCTTCTAGCTGTGATAGGGAGTTCACAGCCACTTTGCATAAAGAGCAGTAAAGCAATTTTTTGGCTTTTTCCTCTTCTGATTCAGAAATGGCATTTGTCATTCCATTTGTGCGATTGGAAGGAGCGGAGAGTGCTGGTGTCACTGTGGTGATGGCGACGGCGGCTGTAGTTGTGGATTCGGATATAAAGGAGCCAACTTCAGTATTGGGAAGTTGGCTAGAACCATTTGTTTTCAGGTTTGTCCTGCTTTCTGGGTTGAGACAGAGGGTGAGGGAGAAGAGAGAGAATGGATAAGATATTAGGTCTCCAGGCTGAATTATGATGATATCATTCACATTCACAACAACTTAGATCATGATCAATGAATAAACCCAAGCATGAATTTATTTATTTATTTATTTATACACTTGAATACCGCTAATATTTCAGCCTAAGTCGGCGACTCATTGCGGTTTACAACAATTAAAAACAGTATTCAATTTAAAAACATAAAAACACGTACAATACAAATTATTGGGCCACCAATAATAATCCCATGCATCTCGTAGTTAAAATCACAATCCAAAATTCGTTGTCCGTGATTGCCAGTCCTTTGGTCATCAAAATTCGTTGCGACGGATTAACCGAATGCTTGTTTAAACATCCATGTTTTCAATCTCTTCCGAAACACCATCAGCGAGGAGGCTGATCGTACCTCTATAGGGAGGGTGTTCCAAAGCCGAGGGGCCACCACAGAAAAGGCCCTGTCTCTCGTTCCCGCCAGCCGCACTTGTGAAGCCGGCGGGATAGAGAGCAGGGACTCTCCAGAAGATCTTAGGGTCCTGGTGGGCTGATAGGCTGAGATACGTTCGGATAGATAAGTTGGGCCAGAACCGTTTAGGGCTTTAAAGGCCAACGCCAGCACTTTGAATTGAGCCCGGTAGCATCGGCAGCCAGTGGAGCTGGTGCAGCAGAGGAGTTGTATGCTCCCTGCGCCCCGCTCCTGTTAGTACCATGGCTGCCGCCCGTTGGACTAGTTGGAGCTTCCGAGCCGTCTTCAAAGGCAACCCCACGTAGAGAGCGTTGCAGTAGTCAAGGCGGGATGTAACCAGAGCGTGGACTACCGTGGCCAAGTCAGACTTCCCAAGGTACGGTCGCAGTTGGCGCACAAGTTTTAACTGTGCGAATGCTCCCCTGGTCACCGCCGAAACCTGGGGTCCAGGCTCAGCGATGAGTCCAGGATCACACCCAAACTGCAAACCTGCGTCTTCAGGGGGAGTGCGACCCCATCCAACACAGGCTGTAACCCTATACCCTGTTCGGCCTTACGACTAACCAGGAGTACCTCTGTCTTGTCTGGATTCAATTTCAATTTGTTCGCCCCCATCCAGACCGTCACAGCGGCCAAGCACCGGTTCAGGACCTCGACAGCCTCCTTAGTAGCAGGTGGAAAGGAGTGACAGAGTTGGACATCATCTGCGTACAGATGACATCGCACTCCGAAACTCCGGATGATCTCGCCAATTTCAAGGTGTTTGTTCTTTGCCTGTGTTTTAATTCTGGAAAACTGATTGAATTAATTCATCTCAATGTCTGGTACAGTGTAGTGGGGCATGACTCGCAATTTGCAGTAAACCTGGGGAACGTTTATGTTTTGGGCACCCCAATATTCCCACATAACCAATGCTGGTATCATTGCTAATGTAAAGTACCCCAACATCATACTAATGGTTGTTCAGTAATTCAACCAAAGTGAACTAAAGAAAAGAATCTGCAGAAAAAAATGCAAACAGTAGACAGATGGTTTACACACACACTCAAATATCCTGGATCATCTGAATGCAGCATCAAGAACAGATCAAGTTTCTGTGATTATATAATACAGAAGTTAATATTTTGGCTTCAAGGCAATATTTTCTCAGTTTTATCTACAGAAGTTCACTTGTACCATTTGGCTGCATTAATTCCTTAGTCTTCATATAGTCATATGAGGTTCTGAAAATAGAAACTACTTTCAGAATGATTCAGTTCAGGACCAGAGCAAATCAGCTTGGGTCACAAAGGAGCCACCGGTGGCACAATGGGTTAAGTCAGAGGTTCGAATCTGGGGAGAGCGTAGATGAGCTCCCTCTGTCAGCTCCAGCTCCCCATGCAGGGACATGAGAGAAGCCTCCCACAAGGATGGTAAAACATCAAAACATCCAGGTGTACCCTGGGCAATGTCCTAGCAGACGGCCAATTCTCTCACACCAGAAACGATTTGCAGTTTCTCAAGTTGCTCCTGACACCAAAAAATAAAATAAATAAAAACAAAGCACACACACACACACAAAGCAGTTTGAGGAAATTCACAAAAAGCAAAATTTATTGTCTTTGAAGAAGGTATCTCTGGAGGTTCTGGGAGTCCTCTTGAAGAATTTGGGGTCAGCATCTAAAGATGCTAGAAGAATAATCTAAAGAGGTTGGGCCCCTCCCTAATTTTGGGTGATTTTCCATTCTCACGGCAACCATTCCACATTGCTCAGGAAGGTCTTCTGGAATAGGAAAAATAAACATAAGGAGAAAATGTGGGAAGATGCATTCCTTCTTGAAAAGTTTCAATATCTTGGAATCCATGCCAGGGAATTGAACTTTAGTAGAAACATGTACGTCTAATTTTGCGCTGTGTAAGAATACCCTACTAGATTTGTACTGCTTTTAAATTCTGGTGAATTGCTCAAAAGTTGTAGATTTTGGGAAATGGTTCAGGTAAATTCATGGAAGGCAAGGTTTGTCAATGGCTACTAATCCTGGCAGCTATAGGTTAGAAGTAGGCTGCCTCTGACAACTAGTTGTTGGAGAACAGTGATGGGAGATGGCTATTGCTCCACGTCTACTTGTGGGTTTCTTATGATGTAAAATATGATGTTGAGTTAGATAGGCTAGCGGTTGGATCCTGCAGGCTCTTCTTACAGCATTATCACATAGGGCAGAAGAACCATCCTAGGATGCTTCTACTCCAGTTCACCCATGGAGCCCCACGTCACCCATCATACAATGTCGGGCAAATTCTGGTGGGTCTTTATGGGTGAACTGGGGTGGCAGCATGGTGGGACACTGCCACTGACAACATGGAAGTAACCCTATGTTCAATTGGGAATTACGAGGTTTCAGCGGAGTGGCGATGCTTTCCCGTGTGGAATGGATAAGCTTAAGCTGCCAGCCGGGACACCGCCCAGATTCACTACTGAGGCTGGCGAATCATGACATTGAATCTCATCAATTTTATAATTGGTGGCTACTGGTGCCCAGATCCCTTATATCTGATAGTACATAAATTATCACATAAGGATGGCTTACTTTTACTTTTGGAACATAAACAAGGGCTAAGGAAAGTTTCAGAAAAACAATTATACTATTTGCAAAAGTATATGTATAGTGGCAGAAAACAAATACTATGCAATGACCTTCACCAAAATGATTCACTGGGAGAAGTGCCTGAAATCCCACTTGGGCCAAAATCCGCTATATGAATACTCAGTTACCACTTGAACAGAAGCAATGAATCAATTGCTGGAGTATAAGTCAATACTTATGGAGATGTCATTAATTTAATGGATCTGCTCTGGTTGGGTCCAGCAATTTGGTTTAACGTATAAGTGTGTAAACCACTGCAAAATGAAGCAATATTAGACCATTCTAGCTTGCCTTTAGCTCAGATAATCAGATAATGAATGCTACAAGAATACTTCCACATGAAAATGAACATGGCATTTTTGTAGAATGCTGCTTTCCCACAAGTACAGGAACTTAGAGGACTTTTAAAATTATGGGAAAAAAAACATTATTGATAGAACAGCTATTGAATGAATATAAACATGGAGAATAAAGATTCTCTTGTATTTTTTCTCTAGTCATTGTATTGCATTTTATAACTCTAGCCTCCAAAGATTCGTATCAAAATAAACCGTAAGCATAAACAACACAAATAAATATCACTTTATTTGTTAAATGTCTATCCATCTTTTCCTACAAAGAGCTCAAGGTGGTGCATATGATTCCTCCGCCCTGTGAGATTGGTTATGTTATGGCTGTAACTGGCTTATAATAGTCCAGAAAGATAAATGGCAAACACAGGATTTAAACCCAACCCTCTCTAGTCCTCATTTAACACTCTGGCCAGTATAATACTTTAAGAGAAAGTGGAGAAAAGATGCTAACCACAAGAGTTGAAAATTAGTACAGATTAGAAGTGTGGAGTGTTATGTATGCAGGGGAAACAGGTCATATATATCACTGGTTGAAACTTGGAAGTCAACTTTTAACTGAATTATCCCCCCCTCCCCAAACACACACACCCCTCACTTTGTAATCTGTGTTTTTAGTGGTTCCTCAGCTAGTCTAGCCAATCCTCAGGAATTTGTAGCTGAAGTCCAAAACATCTGGAGGATCGAAGTTTGGGAAAAACTGATTTATAGTGTGGGGCAGTATAATTTGTAGGATGGGGTAATAGCAGTGTGTATATGTATTGCAGTGTTATGTTTTGTTCCTTTTCTCTCCCCCCCCCCCAATTATTGTATGTAGATTTCAGCCAATTTCAGGCATTTGGGAATCGGATCAAAATGAATACATGAGGATGTAAACACAGGGGCTCTTTGTCCCCTTCCCCGTTGCTCTCCTCATGTGGAGAGAGATATCACTTGTAAAAGAGTCTCCTCGGAACTATAATGTAGAAATCAATTGTAATTCTTGTATACTTCAAACAAATTAGTGAGGACAACTTCCCTCCCTTTCATGCACCCCCCACCCAACCAAAAGCTTGGCTATTGACAAGCTGGAAGAGCTATTTCTATCCTTCAAGAGCATGGCTGTGTTAGGGGGGAAAAGCATAATGAATCAATTTCCCTTATTTGGTCTCGGCAGGGGAAGAATTTACACTTTATTTGTGAAGCGGACTATTTTAGTTTTCATTCTGATGTCATAATACTGAGCAAAATAGGTGGTGACAGGACAGGCTGTCCTCTGTTTGGTTTTCCACATGTTTGGTCTTTGGCCCATGTAAAAGCTTTGCATGACACAGGGGTCAAAACCAACACAGTCGTCCTGACAGCATGACAGCCCACACAGCCCTGGGCCATTGATCTGAGATGTATTTCTGCTGCACCTCATCTTCACAACTTCCTTTGACAGCGCAGCAAGTCGCGGGCTCAGACCTGTCATTAGTTTTTGCCATCCCTTACAAAGGAGCTATAGATTTCAAATGTATCTGGCAGACAGCATCTATTGGCATCT